TCAACCTGCCACTGAGGTCAAACAGAAACACATCGAGCACAACAAGATATGATAGCTGATCATCTCCGTTAGTATCATCAAATGTATAATTGTGTCGAACGAGATAAAAAAAATGTTGAATGTATTTTTCTACCTCCCTTTCCTGGTTGTGCATGGTAACGTGTGCTCGAATTCCTCGACCTGCCACTGAGGTCGAAAAGGAAAACATCGAATATGACAAGATATAATAACACTCAATCATTTTGTTAGTCATCCAAATAATAATCTCAACCATGTCGATATGCATCACAATCTCCTCAACAGTTTGTCCAGAGTACACAAAGAATGACCGTAAACCCCTGCCGATTAAACACGACCACCGAACAAGAGTCGAGAATAGCTTTGTACCTGAAGGTCGAGAATACCGCTCCAAATTGTCTTACCTTTCCAAAAGAGAATGATTGTTACCCGTTCCTTTTGAAATCGCCACCGGTGATTGACATCATCTAGGCTCGTCCCTGCTTGTCACCCTCCCTAGATGGATCCATGCTCGTTCATTTTGTTCTCGACACTAAACAGCTCGTCCGCCATAGCTTGTCGAGACTTGGATTATTTCGTCATTTCCTCGACAGAAATTCAAATATGTCCATGAATAAATCGCATAATCGCTCGAGCAAATTACAAAATCATGCACAAACAAATCCGACAATCATTCGAGCAAATCAAATAATCATCATGCACAAATGAAATATATTCCTCAAATAATCATCCTCAAATAAATCCGACAGCCTCTCGAGCAAATCAGATAATCCTCCATGCATAAGTCAAATATATTCCTCGAGTAAATCAAATAATCATCCATAAATAAACTAAACAATCCATCGACCAAATCAAATATATTCACGAATAAATCAAATGATATCTCCTCAAATAAGTCAAATAGCTTCCACGAAAAAAAATTGCATAATCCTCATGAATTAATTAAATAATGTATACTCGACAGAATCAAATAATGTCTCGAGCAAATCCAACAATTTTCCTCCAATAAGTCAAATAATACTCATCAACAAATTAAATATCTCCACAAGTCAATCATATATTTCCACGACCAATTACATAATTCCACGACCAAATTATATATCAACACCATCAATCCGTTAATCTATCAATTTTTACCAATTTAAATCCTCAAGCCTCCAAATTTCTCGATTTAAATCAAATAGTCCACTCTTTTCAATTTAAAACCTCAAGTCCATAGTTTAAATGAGCATCGTACCTTCATCACGAGAATACTATCTCGAATTTACCTCACCATGCGCGTTGAATTGTCCCGGATTATTTTTGGGCATAAACTAAGGCCGCTAGAACAAATTAGTATCATTATGGGCCATTATAGGCTTTTGGGCCGCGGGTAGCACTGATGGGCCGCGCATTTGGGGCGCTGAAGGGGGCAGGTGAAGTGGGCCGTCGCGGGCTGCAAAATGGGCCAGACGCGGGCAGGTTATTGCATCAGACGCGGGCAACAATCGGGTCGAGCGCAAGCTGGAGAGCTGTGCAAAGTGCGCGGGCTTTACGGGCCGAACAAGGCCCGCGCGCTGGGGCTGCTAGGGTGGAAGGCTTCCCTGCTAGGCCGGTTATGCGGGCCGCAATATTGGGCATGTGTTCGCTGGGCCGTTTCATGGCTGGACCACGGATGCTGGGATGCGATGCTGGTGGATCTGAGCCGTT